ACCCCGCCTCCCAGCCGCCTATCTGGTTGAATCAAAGATACCTTCAGTAGACAATTTTATAGGCAAAGCGCCCGTGATCGCATCGAGCAAATACGGCATGTACCTCAGCCATCTCAACCATCAACACCTCAGCGAGTCCTTGTAGGGAGATTTATTCTTTTTCTAGCCCTCTTTCTATGTTTGTAGTCAGTTCAGACCCAGCAAGATCCAGCTCCCATTCTAAATTGGAGTCCTCGTGAAGTACCTGACAGCTCCGCTGAAATAAGTGATTTGGCGAAGAAAGTGAGTTTTTTATTTTTTTATTATTTACCCCCTACTCTTCTGACATCAACTTACCTTACAGCTTGGTGCTCGACTTTTTCAAGACACTTCAATTCTTGAGCAGCTTCAAAGCGTCAAGCGTGAAAAATCTTTTGTTGAGCAGCTTCGAGAGATTGTCGCATCCTCTTCTAACAGAGAGCCGCCTACGAAACCACTCCAGTTCATTCCGTCTACACCAATAGGTAAGTTCCATTGTAATTTAATGATTTTTTGTGTAAATGTTCACATTCTCAGCTTCCCAAGCCAAGCCACCAGTGCATCCAAGCATAGAGTGCAAGGAAATCGATGTGCAAACGTCGTGGGTCGGCGAACCAAGAAAAGAAGTCAGTGATGATAGATTTTCCCGCATGAATGGTTCCTGTTATTCTATTTAGATGCGTGACAATGCCACCGATCTGCCCTCTTTGGACTATCTCTCCATGTCAGAATTGGGTGGATTACGGCAACTTCCGGAAACTTTCGTCGCTCAGGAGGAAGTGTCATCATCAGCATTCAGTTCTGATCAGAGCGCCGGACAAGTCCCTCCGAATCTAATCAGGCAAGTAAGCAGATTTTCTATTTCCATCTTTGGAAAGAACAGAGTATTTTCATTTTTTGTGCTTCTGAAATATCTATTTTTATCTATTTTTTACTGCTTACTTGTCTTCAAGTGCTATGATTTTGCTGGCACTTGTCTTCAGGCTCTGCTATACTTTTTTCTGCTTATCTAATTCGCCCTCATACTCCTTTTTGTTGTAAAATCTCCTGTCTCCTTACCCCAGAAACTAGAAATATGATGTTTCTTTTGCTTTCTGCAAGAAATTTTTGGTAAGTTGCGCATTCGAACTGAGGCAAAAGCATGGATATCAAGAGAAAACTAGGAGGATGAATTTGCTTTTGCTTCTGCTGAATTGTTACTTCTTTGGAGCATTTCGAGCTTCCCTTTGCATGGAGCGCTTTCACTCGGTTTTTTTT